ATTAATTTTAAAATAATATTGTTTAAATGATATTTTAAACTTTTGTAATAATTTTTTAAACAAAATAATGTTATTTTAGATAACAAATTTAAAAAAATCTAAAACAAAGTTTTGAATTTTGACACTATCCAACATCAAAATTTGACATGAATCTAATCCATTTTAGTGATGATCTGATGATCTCATGACATGGTTGATAGTAATATTTTAAAATAATAAATACCTTAAAATATGTTTTTTCAATGACACATTCAAACATATAAAAATAAAAATGATTTTCAAATCATTTTTTTTATAATACAAGAAAACGTTGAAATTTAATATGTTATATCATAAATCATTTTCCATACAAGAATTGAAGTAAAATAAACAGGCCCAATGGCTATCTTGTATAAAGGGCCCAATTAGTTACAATTCCAATTCCATTATTATTATTATTATTATTATTATTATTATTGACATCACAAATCAGTAACATTTATTCATTTCAATGGCTCTCTTCTAAATAATCAAAAGAAAACCAAACAAGAAAACAAAAAACAAGGTAAACAAACTACAAAACATGAATATGTAATTACTCTACAATGAAATGAGCTTTGTCTATGAACTTGTTAATCACATGATACTTGAGGGAATAAAAATAATGGAAGATTTGTAAGTGAGGTTCTGGCCTAGCGGTGGGAGGGGCTTGTCCCCTTCCTCCGCACCTGGGTTCAAATCTCATCATGCACGCCTGTCACCCCCGCGGTGCCTTACCTGCTCACTGGGCTTGCAGGATGTTCAGTGGACCGTGTGGATTAGTCGTGGTACGCGTAATCTGGCCCGGACACCCCATGTAAATAAAAAAATAATAATAATAATAATGGAAGATTTTGAGAGCGAATATTGTGTATGATTTTATTGTGGTATTATCATTGAATTGCCAAATGAATTTATTTGTCTAATGTATATGAGGGTATTTATACATCTTCCTCTATCATGTCATGTGAGCTTACCTTAGGGGGAATAAAATAATAATAAAGAATAATTATTTTTTATTTTAGATGATCTAAAATGATAAGTTGTTGATTGGTGTAGTATCGGTGGAAATAATTAATGCTTGAAGGTAATTGATGTGAAAAGTGAGTATCCTCTAATGAGATAATTTGGTAGGAAATAGTTAATAGAAAAAAAAAAGCAAAAATAAGTGTTTGTATTGATAATTTGTACATAAAAAAATAAAGCACGTCGCTATATTTTTTTAGAAGATAATAATTTTGAATTATGATGTGTTAATCCCTAAGGTTTTTAAAAATTTATATTGAAGGAGTTACGATATAATTTAAAGTGAGTATTGGAGAGTTATAGTCTCTTGAGCATAGCTGGGGCATACTTAACAATTCTTGAGGCAAGTTTGCATTAGATTGCTTAGTTGAACAAGCTCTATCAAATCAGAAATTAAGTTTATTTATTCGGAAACATGATATATCAAATAAAATATAAAATTGATGCATAAATTACAATGATAGTAAAGAAAAGAGAAAAAAATAAAGAAATAAATCTCAAAAACATATTATTGCTTCGATTATAATATCACCAATATCATAAAAAAATATCTCAGTAAGATGAATCCAGTAATAAAAAAAAACAATCAATGATGACCGAAATGTGCAACACTTGCCATTAAATATTATAAAAGATAACTGGTTAATAAGAAAGGTAATGCTTGTGTGATAGCGATTATGATTTAAAGTATTTTTTATTTAAAAATATATTAAAAAAATATATTTTAAAAAAAATTATTTTTAATATTAGCATATCAAAATAATTTAAAAATATAATTTAAAATTTAAAATTTAAAAAATATAATTTCAACCATATTTCCGGACATTATTTGCAACTAGTTATTTTATATGTTGGAATTGCGCCACCTCTCAAATGAGGCTGAAATCGCATAAGAGTTGGGTTATTGAATAAATCTGGATTAATTTTAAAATAATATTGTTTAAATGATATTTTAAACTTTTGCAATAATTTTTTAAACAAAATAATGTTATTTTAGATAACAAATTTAAAAAAAATCTAAAACAAAGTTTTGAATTTTGACACTATCCAACATCAAAATTTGACATGAATCTAATCCATTTTAGTGATGATCTGATGATCTCATGACATGGTTGATAGTAATATTTTAAAATAATAAATACCTTAAAATATTGTTTTTCAATGACACATTCAAACATATAAAAATAAAAATGATTTTCAAATCATTTTTTTATAATACAAGAAAACGTTGAAATTTAATATGTTATATCATAAATCATTTTCCATACAAGAATTGAAGTAAAATAAACAGGCCCAATGGCTATCTTGTATAAAGGGCCCAATTAGTTACAATTCCAATTCCATTATTATTATTATTATTATTATTATTATTATTGACATCACAAATCAGTAACATTTATTCATTTCAATGGCTCTCTTCTAAATAATCAAAAGAAAACCAAACAAGAAAACAAAAAACAAGGTAAACAAACTACAAAACATGAATATGTAATTACTCTACAATGAAATGAGCTTTGTCTATGAACTTGTTAATCACATGATACTTGAGGGAATAAAAATAATGGAAGATTTGTAAGTGAGGTTCTGGCCTAGCGGTGGGAGGGGCTTGTCCCCTTCCTCCGCACCTGGGTTCAAATCTCATCATGCACGCCTGTCACCCCCGCGGTGCCTTACCTGCTCACTGGGCTTGCAGGATGTTCAGTGGACCGTGTGGATTAGTCGTGGTACGCGTAATCTGGCCCGGACACCCCATGTAAATAAAAAAATAATAATAATAATAATGGAAGATTTTGAGAGCGAATATTGTGTATGATTTTATTGTGGTATTATCATTGAATTGCCAAATGAATTTATTTGTCTAATGTATATGAGGGTATTTATACATCTTCCTCTATCATGTCATGTGAGCTTACCTTAGGGGGAATAAAATAATAATAAAGAATAATTATTTTTTATTTTAGATGATCTAAAATGATAAGTTGTTGATTGGTGTAGTATCGGTGGAAATAATTAATGCTTGAAGGTAATTGATGTGAAAAGTGAGTATCCTCTAATGAGATAATTTGGTAGGAAATAGTTAATAGAAAAAAAAAAGCAAAAATAAGTGTTTGTATTGATAATTTGTACATAAAAAAATAAAGCACGTCGCTATATTTTTTTAGAAGATAATAATTTTGAATTATGATGTGTTAATCCCTAAGGTTTTTAAAAATTTATATTGAAGGAGTTACGATATAATTTAAAGTGAGTATTGGAGAGTTATAGTCTCTTGAGCATAGCTGGGGCATACTTAACAATTCTTGAGGCAAGTTTGCATTAGATTGCTTAGTTGAACAAGCTCTATCAAATCAGAAATTAAGTTTATTTATATCCGTCGAACGAAATTTGTCTATATCTTTTTTTTTCTTAATCACTTTATAATTTTCATTATATTAAATCAAACAAGGTCAATAAACGAGTACCGCACTAATTAGCTTCGCATAGACATCAGTTGGTCACCAAATCGGTAGGCTATCCCCACCATTTCCATGCCATCTCTCTATCATTCCCATGTTCATACATTATTCATTATTCAACTTGTGTGGTTCCTCACGCCCTTTATCAAAGTGCACTTTTGGACCCAAAAACCTTTCCCACCCTAACAAAATATTTAATGACCCTTTTTCCAAAGGAAATCCATGTAGTGCTACATTAGTCAATAGGCATCTCATGTCAACTCAAGTAAATCCTTGGATTTAGTGATTGATTAACTGCACAAATATCCAAAAACCAAAAAAAAAAAAAAAGAGACTCCCAACCCGAAAAAATTGCCTCCCATTACCACCTTCAATTAATCCAAATTGAAAGAAACTAATCCTCTATTTATCTCCTTAAATACCCTTTAAGCACTACTTAATCACACTTCACCGGGAAACATTTTGTCGTTTTTGGCCGGAGATATGTCAATCTCTATCAAGTTATCCTCTTCAACATGAAAATCCAAACCCGCATCCAAATCAGGACCCGTATCCTTCTTATTATCACTATCAAGAGCTATCTCTATCAATAACCCTTCTCTATCTTCCTCTTCCCATTTGAAGCAAAACCTCTCCAGCGAGTCCCGCTCTCCGGCAACTGAAAACCCACCTTCAGAATCCGAATCCGAATCCGTTTCCGGATAACACATAGCCAAAGACGGATATCTTCCCAAACCACCAAACCGGGTCGGATCCTGATCTGCATCCTTCTCATTTGGATCCTCCTCTTCTTCTCCTTCATATTCCTCATTAATAACCTTCAATGGAGCTCTAACATCCCATTCAACAAACGACACTTCAAAATCCAGGTTCGGATCAGGGTCAAAGCAACCCTTTTCAGCACTTTGGGAAGCAACCCATTTGTCTACGTGAGTCAAAAAGCTAGAACTTGAAGCTTCACCAAAATGGGTGCCTTTGTCCTGCTTGATTTGAATGGCTTTATCGCTTTCTGTGACTGAAAGCTGGCGTCTTTGAATTGCACCAAGACGTAAAACAAAGAGCAGGAGAGTTAAAGTAATGATCAGAATTGGAGATATTGAGAGTTTAAGTGCTTGAGGAAAGTATAAGAGAATTAGAGTGTAGAGAGTGATAATGCAAGAGAAGAGAGGATTAAAAGAAAGATTAATGGAAGTCATGATTTCAATGATGAGAAATGAGATGGTATTTGAATTCAATTCCCATGAAGGTTTTCACTGTCTTCCATAAAGAAAGAAGAAACGTAGAGAATTTGGATTAGTGAAGGCTAGGAGTTGAGATTTTGGACAAGAATTTAAAACCCGTTTGAGAGTCAACGAAGTTTACAAGACATGCAAGAGAAAGAAAGAGAGAAGCGGGGTTTAAAGGAGATTGCTTTGTGGGGTTTATAGGCTTGGGAGGTGGGGATGTGTAAGAGAGAGGCATGTAATATATTAAAGGGGATTCCATCTTCCATGGTGAATTTGATCCCTTTACTCTAATGTTTGTTAGTTTTGATCCCTTGACTTTTATTTCCATATATTTTGTAATCCTTTTGCAAATAATCAAAGTTAAATTACACAATTAAGTGTCAAATTAAGATTTTTCAAAATCAAGGCTATATTTAATAGTGAAATTTAAGGATAAGATTAAGGATAGAGGGATTAAATGGACCATTAATCTATATTACAAAATTATATGAACTATTTTATTATATGATAACGGAGATGATTTTTAATATAATATCTCATTTTAAAAGTATATAAAGAAGTAAAATATCTCCTTGTATTGTTGCATTTTGGATTTTCTACTTTTCAATTGATATTGATTCTAGGTTTTTTTAGCACACTTTTCAAGAGATTGAAGATCAAATCCAACTTAATTTTATGGTATTAATTTGTTTCTATGATTGTTGGATTAGTTCTTAATTCATGAACCAAAACCCTCCCCGCCTTTCATTCTCACTTCAAGGTAACGCTTCCATTATAGATTTTTTTTAGAAGAGAGAAAATTGACTTGGAAAGTAAATGACTTTTGATATACTACTACAATTTCTTGGCTGGGTGCAATGAAAAACTTTTATGCGGGGGTGGGTTTCGAAACAAGGTTTAAATCATGTTTTTAAATGTTTTGATTTTTTTATTTAAAATTAATATTTTTAGTATTTTTAAACTGTTTTGATACGTTAATATCAAAAATAAAATTTGAAAAATAAAAAATTATATCTTGATATATTTTAAAATAAAAAATACTTTAAATCATAATGAATATCAAAATCTCAAACAAATAGACTCTAAATTATTTCCAAGGGCACAATTATCTTTGAGAGAATAATTTCTTCCGTTTTCTACCACCATTCACCATGAACAAAATTGTTTCGTAGGTCACTTTCTGTCTTTCTTTCATGGCCTTAGAGGTATCAATCTCCTTTTTCTGTGTGACACGGCATTTGTCTAGTAATGATGTAAAATTTCTTTTCCTTTTGCCACCGTAGACAAGAGGCAGAGGACTTTTCAAGCGTGGACATCCCTGTTATCCCTCAATGAATTGTCTGAATTGTCTATGCATGGTTTTCGATCGAACAGTCCAAGAGAAGTTGTCAGTTTCCTTGGAAGTGAAGCTTTCTAAACAATTCTTTAATTTTGGCTGTAAAGTGGCTCATAACTGGCTATATACAGTTATAGAGCATTGCATTATAATAACTAAGTGACCATAGAGAAGGGATTTGACCACCATCACGACTCGCATGATGAAAAATTATGCCCGTGAGATTAGTCGTGGTGCGCGCAAGTTGACCCGGATACCTACGTTAATCTAAAAAAAAAAAAAATCATGCGATTTTATGGTCTTGTGATCTGCATGCAATATCTAAAGCTTGAAATATTTGGGTATTGTATCCATAAGAAGAGAACTTTGCAGGAATGAAGGGAGAGGGTAGTCAAATTAATAGAAAAGAAAAGCTATGCCACAAATCTAGCCAGAGGGGTTGGAAAAACTCACTTTGATATTGCGGTAATTTTTATGATTATTGTTTAAAAATTATAAATTATAGTTTTTTCTTATTCAATGTATTAAGAGAGAGTTTCTAGTGAGATTCTTGTAAAATTATGGTGTGTATTAATTAATTAAGTACTTTCAAAAATATAGTTTCAACCACGCTATTATCCCAAACTAACTAGCTATCTCTAAGCTGGAAGAAAATGCAATTGAAGCAACAAGCATGGATGTGTTATAGCACCATGTTTTCACTTATCATGCACGTGGTGATCTCCATTAAAGGTAAATGTCCCCCATGAAGAAAAGCATTTTATTGATCAATGAAAAGCTACTCGAAGAAAGAAACTAGAAAAGAAAAAAGAAGCAAAATGCGAAGCTTTTAGGTTCTGCAAGCCTCCATTGGTTTGGTCTGTACTGAAACGAATAGAACACACACTCTCTCTCTCTTCTATCATATTTGTAGGTGGCATTTGGTCCACCTACTTAAAACCCTAACTTGGCTTCCAAGACAATAATGGAAAGAAATGATTGGAACTTGAAAGAACATCGAGGGTTTATGGTGGGGTTCAAAACATGGATTGGCGACAAGGAATATGCAGCTTTAGAGATGCTAATCACATGGTCTGGAGATTAGGTGCAAAACATATGGGACCCCAACCTTTCCTTCCAGCACTTTGATACTTCTAGTTCTGTGGTTTGGTCATTTCTCTGTAGATATCATACGCAGTTCTTCGAAAACTTGCAGCTAGCAGCCAACTCACTAAGACCTAAAACATCTAGACAAGTGAAAGATTTTACATGGATGTTTCACATAACTTTGATCCCAATCATAGTCTCACATGAAGTTAACAAAATCTTATAGTTAGCAGTAGTGTTTACAAAATTTTTGAAGGGGGCCTTTGAACGTTACTCATTAATTTCATGTATACAAAATATTTCTGCAGTTTAACATGGACCGGAAATTGGCCTTTCGAAGTCTTAAGTGTGGAAGCGTGATCTCCAAAGTCTTGAGAAATGACGGCAAGCCTATACAGTGATCAGTAATATCTCGGAGGAGGAGCTAGGGTTATATCTTACAGAATGCTTCACGCCAAAGATTTGAGAAATGACGGCAAGCATTCATTTAAAGATTGAGGCAAAGTAGAAACAGAAGCAAAGTAGAAACAGATCCATCATTTAATGATTGAGGAAGATAATATGTACTTTGGTAGCCGAAATTCAATGGCAGAGCAGGTGGGTTGGTGCTTTGGTAGCCATAATTCAATGGTGGAGCAGGTGGCGGCTTGGCATTTTGGTTGCTGTATATAATTCAATGGTGGAGGTAGACTCAATGGCAGAGGAGGTGGATGAGAAATTTTCCTGGATCTGCTACCAACTAAATGAAATGGAAAACCATCAGGGCCTTATATATATGGCATGAGAATAAATGGATTGAAAAGGATGATACACTAACCGGGTAAAGCTCCCTGATTTTCCAGAGGCGGGCTAGCATTTAACTCCATCAAAGGCTGCCGAGAACAGGGTAGAGATTCAGTCTTTAAAAGCACACTTCATTTTCTCCAAATTTATCTCTGATTCCCTTCAATCGAGTTCAGCAAAAATGACCTTATAAAATAGTCAAACCTATCAGTCACATTATGCTCAAACATTGTATAAAAGGGATACGCGTCATTTATGCTTTCCAAGTGCCTACCTGATCAAAGAGTTCATCGGAACCAGGACTTGCGCCTTCTTCAATAAGTAGGAAGGAGGCCATATACAGCACTGAACTGCAACTAAACCACGGTAGAACACGAGGAAATAGAGCTGACTCACATTGAAGCTCTTTCACCGGAGAATCCACCAGTTGAAGACCCGCTTGGCCAGCATCAAAGCCCTTTGCAAATCCCAGCCATTTTCAGTTTTGGGAGAGTCCTACAAAAGCCAACGGTTTACTTTCAAGATCAACACAGCACATGATTGTGTCTCCAACCCCAAGCTTCTCACCATAATCTGATCATATTCCAGCACTAGAGAATTTCCCTGTGCCTCCAAACCCAAAGCTATGCATAGTCTCCCCCAAGGTTTCCCACAGCATCATCTCCCCTAAAAATGCCTAGGCAACAAACATTCTGCTGGTCATGGGGATATCTTGCATACTAACCGGCTGACCTCAAAACAATTCTGCAACCGAAACAATACTTCCCTCCAGTGATTCCAATATTGGCCCGAGATCCTCATGATGTCTTGAAGACCATCATGTCAATGTAGAAATCTAAATAAAAGCAACCATAATCTTATTAATGAATTTGTTATTTTTCTTTCTACAACACTTTCTCTTAATTTCACAAGACAATAGTCAATACTGTTCAGATATTGCAGGTTGCGTAGAATAAAATGATGCTGTGATGATCTTTTAGCTAATTCTTCCTCCAAAATCATCGTATCTTGAACATTCAAGTAACATCTTAATCTTTTAGGGTTTAAGATTCTTTGGCTAAAAAATTTCCGGTATTATAGACGTAAAAATCTTCTCTTTACCTGCCTTACAACTCAATCTTTTATGCATGTTTTGCAGAAATTGCCCGTTGCTGATCATTATGAGAAATCCTTGGCACAATATTCTCTTTTGTCAGCAGACATTTTAGCATCTCAACAGTTTAAACACTTGGAAATTGTTTGAAATCCCACAAAGATAAGCACTACTTTCTTTCTTTTTTTATTCTTCCAGCACACATTGTACTTCCATATCAACCTGCTAATGGCTTTCCATGCTGCTTGTTATTGTTGTCTACCTGGAACTTGGAAGATAGCTTTTTGTTGTTGGATTTCAATGCTATTTATTATCCACAAACTGATCCACCACAAAAGCAACCATAACAGCAATCATTGAATTCAGAAAAAGGATCCAAACATCCCTCAAAATCATCATTGTATATATCATATCTGAAGCAATGAGGATTCTCTTAAAAACTATAGTATTTCAAGAAAAACTTGGTGGTACCAAGTAAACAAAAAAGTAGATGGCTACGATTACTGTACAAATTTTATCTTGTTACACCTTCAAAGTTTATGCCACAGCCTTAATGTTAAAGTTTGAGCATGGCCTTTTCTGTCATTGTGAAGGCCAGGAAAGAAAATCTACAAATTCACAAAAAAAATTCTTCGATGAACTGAAAACCAACGTATTTGGTCTCTCACAATC